AGTCAATTTGGTGCGTTGGGATGATTTGTGTCGTCCAAAGGCGGTGGGTGGATTAGGTTTTAAGGACCAACGTACAATGAACAAGGCGTTATTGATGAAGTTGGGCTGGGGCCTGTTTAACTCACCCAACGTGTTGTGGGCGCAAGTGCTGATTTCAAAATATGGTCTCAACCCATTGGGGATTAAAACTAGCCTTGAGGTCTCGCGAGGCTCGGCCGTTGTTCGTGCCATTGTAAAAGTTTGGGGGCCAGTAGTTGCTGGGGTACGTTGGTCAGTGCGCAACGGTCATCGGGTACACTTTTGGACAGATCGGTGGCTTACGAGCGCTACTATCTTGTTTGAAGAAGCTCTAGGCCCGGTACCGGAACACCATCTTTCTTGGACACTGGATAAATTCGTTGATAGTGCAGGCGCTTGGCGATGGGACCTATTCCAACCCCTACTGCCCGCGACGACTCTATTGCGTATAGCTGCCACACTTCCTCCTTCCCTGGGGTCAGGCGATGACATTATGTACTGGGGATGGTCGAGCGATGGACGTTTCACAACTAAGTCGGCATACGAAGCACTTGTGGGGACTCATAACGCGAATACAAGGCGTATTTGGAAAGAGGTGTGGAGCTGGACGGGGCCCCAAAGAATCCGTCATATCATGTGGCTAATTGTGAAAGAACGCCTGATCACTAATGGAGAAAGATTTCATCGTCATCTGGCTGAAAGTGCTGCTTGCGAGTTATGTGGAAGTGCACAAGAAACGATACTCCATTGTCTTTGGGACTTCCCTCATGCCGAGCAAACATGGCGTCGTTTAATCCCGTACCAACATCGGGTTCCTTTCTTCTCCTTAGAATTAAAAGAATGGGTGCGTGCTAACCTTGGTAATCATTTGAACATCAGTAACGAAAACTGGGCTTGTGTTTTTGGAGTCACGATTTGGAATATCTGGCGAGGTCGGAACTCTTTCATTTTTTAGAAAAGTGGGTTTAATATTCTGGGGCGAGTGTTGGCTATAGACAAGTCGAGAGCATTTCTTCAGCCTCCATATTTGCCAAAAGCTTATGTGCTGGTGGTATTTGTCGGGAGATTAGATGGCTTTCATGGTCTAAGCCAAACGCGAGATTCATCAAGCTGAATTCAGACGGCGCGTTTAACCGACAAACCGGAATGGCCTGGGCGGGAGGGCTATTGTGTGACGAGGATGGAAGGTGGGTGACTGGTTTTGCATTGAATATTGGCTTTTGTTCGATCTTAGGTGTGGAGCTTTGGGGTTTATTTCAAGGTTTGACCTTGGCTTGGCACAAGAAGCACCGAATGGTGATAGCGGAAGTTGACAACAAGACGGTTGTTGACATGGTGTTGAATGATGGCGAGCACACGGGCTTGTTCATTTACATACATCTATCCCAATGAGCGGCATCCATAGCAGCATTGTCTGGGGAATACAAGATCTGTTGGTAAGGGAGTGGAGACTACGATTCACCATATTCATCGAGAAGTGAACTTTGCAGCGGATTACCTCGCTTCTATGGCCTCGACCATACCGGGCGGTCTCCATATC